TACTCGGAACTGAAAATGGTACGAACTACTCCACTAGATGTGATACCCTAGGACTAGAAACACTATGGCTAAGACGCCTGAGACTAAACTTGACACTTTACTATAAGCTTCTAAACCACTTAGTTTTTACCTCTACTAATGGCACTCGACTTTCAGATGACAATGGATACAAACTAAGACACACTAAGGGTACAGTAGCTATCGAACAATGTAAAACAGCCACCAGGCAAAAGTTTTACTTGATTAGGTATGCACAGATATGGAATAAACTGCCAATGGAAATGCGTCAAGCAAGTACATTGGCCTCCTTCAAAAAGGTGCTTAATGACAAACTACAAGAGTTTGCAAACGATAGTAGTTCTAGTTCATATCTGAGAGCCTCCGAAATTATAGGTCCATTTAATGTATAAGCTTAAATACTACACCTGTTGTTTTTTGCCTATATTTATAATTCTAGATAAAACATTAACGGTTAAGATACGTATCCTCAAACAGACAAGAAATCTCGTTTGTAAAACTACTACCCAACACAATAAGTGGAATAAAATGGACATAAACCGACAACATGAAAAAGGTATAACTCACCACAACATCACATGGACAGATGAACGCTCGTTGGGCACCATATATCCCTCACCAACTGCAACCCACCTTTCCTTAGATAATGTGATGAACTTATATCCATAATGTTGCTGAGCAGTTAATATTCTCAACTCCTGTCGGAACAGCTGAATTTCATAAACCTTCCTCACGCTAAGAAAATAACCACAAGCAGTAGAAATCCATTAATTAATGCGTCCGAAGCCTATGTACTTACTCCAAACAATGACATTGAAGATCAAATGAGATAAACACATCACTGATTTCAAAATAACACATCAATGAACTATAATTCGAGGACTCTGCACACAACAAAGTTATGTATGAATATTGACTTCAAGCTTTTTTTTCCCAGGCACTTATAATCCATCCACCAAAGACCTGGTTTTTTTGTTAATGCGAAGACAATACTCCTGTATTTCCTGTTGTGTTGCACTCACTGACAATCTAGCAGATTTTTCCAACTTTGCGCAGAAATGATTGTATATAAGTGAAAAGGCTGTTTTATACTACTGGGATTAACATTTATTAAGTGTATGTATAATCTCCAGCGAACATGTAAAGCATATCTTGCTACAGCCTGTAAATTGTGATTGAATTATATGGTTCTATTTCTGTAACAATTTGATGATGCCTGTAAACTGGCGTCCCTCATGTACTGTACTATGAGAATAAATTTATTTATTTATTTATGATGAAGTTACTAGTCGATTGTTGTATAGATTTCAAAGGGTTAAAGATAAGAACCCTGTTGTTGAAAAGTATATTGCGTTTATAGAGTCATACCGTGATCCCTTTGGCGTTCGTGCAAAGTTTGAATCATTTGTCGCCGTTGTAAATAGATCAGTGTCTAAAAAATTCCAACGACTTGTGAATAATGATGAAAGGTTGTTAACAAATTTACCATGGCCCTCTACATTTGAAAAAGTTAATTTCTTACAGCCAGACTTTACTAGTTTGGATGTAGTGAAGTTTGCAACTTCTGGAATTCCTGTTGGAACTAATATTCCTAACTATGATGATGTACGACAAGTTGATGGATTTAAAAATGTTTCTCTGGATAATGTACTTAGTGTTCGTTTCAAGGATCCTAAACCAGAATTTCTACGTAATGAAGACAAACAAATGTACGTGAAACATGCTGAAAGTTCCTTTGAATTACAAGTTGGACTTCATGAACTGACGGGATATGGTTCTGGTAAACTGTTTCGGCGTGATTGTTATGGAAAACGAAATTTCCACACGAAAACTACTGAATATGTCATGAATGCGGATCCGGTAAAAGGTTGGTGTGAACCAGGAGAAATGTATGACAGCAAGTTTTCACACCTTTCATCTGCAATAGACAAGTGTCAAGCTGAGTGCTTTGGAATTTATTTATCTGATTTACCTCTTGTTCTGGAGCAGTTCGGTCTGAATACTGACTGTGCTCAAGGCGATGTCTCAGATGTAGTCTATATTAATTGGTTTTCAATGATTCCTTCAGTTGTAACTTCCATGGAGTTTTATTCTCCAGCAGAAAATGCTGATGACATTGTATCATGGTGTCAAGCACACTGTTCTGCTCGTTATGCGATTCTGCGAGTTTTGATTGAAGCTGACGATTCTATGGGACGTACAGATGAAGTAGTCGGTGAGGACGATGCATCTGATTTGTGTATTTCCTTGGATCCAAAAAGACTTTTAACTGTGGCTCGTTCAGCAATTGGTAAATTCTTAAGAAAATTACAATATTACAAAGGTAAAGCGAATGCTATGTATGGATATACCTTCTTCCAACACTATAGTCAACTACTTCCAAAATATTTGACTGATTTGCTCTGGCATAAATGGCTACGTGGATGTCTTCTGATGCTGCAAACAAGATCTAAGTGGTTGGATATAAAGCACAACCTACAACCTGATGATCTCGTCTTAGTTAACAGTGCTGACACACAGAGAGGTCTCTGGCGAAAGGCTATAGTTAAGCAGATGTACTATGACCAAGATGGCCACGTCAGGACACTGTGTTTGAAAACTTCAACTCAAGAAGTGGAACAAGATATAAGAAGCGTATGTTCGCTGGAAGAAGCAGACAACTTTATGGTTCCAAGTACAAGAAGTCAACGTGGTGATCGTTCGCGGGGAGTTTTAATCGCGACAGATAGATAGACTATATGATAAACAGTTAATCAATATGATGTGACCTTCTTGTCGCGATTATTGGTCAATTTATTGTAACTCTCACCACGTGATGACCTTGAATGTTCTTTTTTGTCTGTCACTCTATTTGTGTATACATGTAATTAATTGACTGTTCATTTTGTCCGTACCCTCAATACTGTTTGGTACGTTTTTATCCTTTTTTTGTAGTGACAGTGGATTTGTACATTTTTCTTGCTGTAATTGTATGATTTATTTTATGTTTTAGAAACAGATAAAGTTAAAGTCAAGTCATTCTGTTTTAACTATAGTTAAGCCCAGACTCTGTGTCGTCAGTATTGAGGAAGGACTAAATCTGTAGGACAAAAATAATCCTACAGTGACTACACCATAAATGGCATCCTTGACCGATGTCGCACCCCACAATGATAGGACAGCACTGTCAACTGATGGACACTGAGGAATGGTTGTTGGGGATAATTCACACAGCGAAATCAAACATCGTTACCGTGAGCCTCATGAAGGACACCTCGTGGTCTGAGTGAGGCACAGGGAACTCAGAGAGGCGGTCAGTATCTGACGAGTATGGAGACGTCCGAATTATTCAGTTCGGCCTTTAACAGGTAGATAAGCAACACACAGAGTAGTACCACTGTGATGCGAATGCCATCCTCCACTGAGCCACCAAGATCCACTTCACATTAGCCCCGCAATGCTCTCAGTCAAACTGCTAATTTCGAACCAAGGGAAGTCCCTGCACTGTGACGATATTCGGTCATCACTTGGGAGATACTGAGCATACACCTTGTGAATGCCATCACGTGATGATTGTCAACACTCCACAGAACAAAAGAAAGTGCCAACTGGAGTGGAAGTAAACTGTGCTGTCTCTTACTTCCGAGGGTGGTGGTGGTTAAAGTTCTCTCAATTTTGGATCTATAGTACTAAGGTGTTGGAACGCCTGACTGACGACTGTGCACGAAAACACCTTGAATAGAACAACACAATCGATGAAGCACGACGCGGTTTCGGGAGACCTAGATTTCATTCATTCAACGTAGCTAGTCTTCGTGGAGCAAGTGAATATCACACTGCGATAAGGGCGTTCCGGTCAGGAAGCGTTACCTCATCGCCGTGATTTGAGATTATAGAGGTAAATTCGGTGTGCAACTGATCGTCAGGAGGATATAAAAGAATGCTGTTGTACACGTGTGCTGATAGGTAGACACCTACGAGAATCTAAAGGATTTGAAGGGCAGGACGCATTTGAAGATTCACAATTCTCCATGTTATTGAGATTGTGAATTCTGTTAGTGAGGCCCGGACATAGACGAATTGTGTAAATGAATCTCCAGTAGGGCTATGCGAAATAGGGATATAAGAGATTGTTTTCGAAACACCTCTGATTGATGGAGGAGGAAAACACTTCAACTGTGACGAGCAGCTCTCTTCGGTCACACATAGTGACCAATAATCGGTGCACGATGTTCGTATCATGAAGAGTAACTGCAGAGCACTGGGCTATCTCGAACCAGCCCACAATGGATAGCGCATCAGATGCTGAAGATTCGAGTGCGCTTCAATTTCAGTTTTCTTATAGGTCATCGTGCATGTGGCTATGGTCAATGCGGCATCCGTGGGAGGCTTTAAGCGGAGGTTGGATTATCACCTAGTGAGATAATAACTGCATCTGAATGGTCTGTCCCCTAATACTCACATACCGCATTGTTAGTGGGTGCACCTCACAACTCGTCCCGCACCACTGTCCATTCTCACTTCTCCAACTCTCCTGGCCACCTCACCTGTTTACTCACTTATTCTGTTGTTATTTCACAGTCGTTTCTCTGCGTTTATTCTGAAATAATAAATTCCATTAGCTATCCGTTTGTGCATTTTCTGTTGAAAGTCTACATAGCCTACACTGATTATATCTACTGTTGCTCGTATTAATTTTATATCAATTTCTGATCACCCCGGATGACCACAGGGGGGAAACGATCAATGCGCTTCCTGGCAGTAACATGGTCTCAACACATCGCATAATGCAAACTACACATAACCAATGCCTACACCATTCACCTTGGAGCCAACCAAAGCTACGCCAGTCGAGTGATGGGACACACCAGGCACAAGTCTACCAAAGATCAAGATATTTTGCTACCTAGCGAAGAAGTGGGGACAATGAAATCAAATTGGATTACACTAGCTCTTCAAAGCGATATTGGATATTGGTAGCTTGTTTAGTCAGATCATCGGGCGCCGAATCAGGTCGAACTGGTGTAGTGCGGTGACTACTGTTCCTGTTGGTTTTGGTGTTACCATTCCCACTACTACTGCTACTGCTTGTGCTGCTGCAACTGCGACTGGTGCTGCTCATACGTACTTGACAGGATGTCGGGCAGGTTAGGCTGTGTGTCTTTCATTTGATTGTTGCGAGAATGTCTGTGTGAGTATGGGATTTGACGTTAACGACAATTGTGCGTGGTTCTGCATGCTGTCGAGTAATTGTCGACCCTGCCTACTCTTAATGGCTATTTGATGGGTTAAAGGACCTTTTTTACAGTGAATGTCGTCTTGAAAATGAATGCATGTTGTCATTGATGCAAGAGGTGTGTGTTGCCTGATGTAGAGATGACGCCTGAGTGCCATACTGGGACTGTCGTCAGCAGATAACATGTGTGGTGTAATAGTGAGGATTATTATTGTTGTTGTTGTTGTGTGTGTCTGTGTGTGAAAGAAAGAAGGTAGATATACTGGCATTAACGGCAGGGAGTTATTTCCCAGTAATGTGCCCAGCCAGCAATTTTTTTGGGGCAGACCTAGGGCGCATTGCAGATTTTTTGGGGCACTTCGGGCGCATAGCAGACTTTTCGGGGCAGTCTTCGGGAGCATTGCAGACTTTTTGGGGCAGACTTAGGGTGCATTGCAGACTTTTTGGGGCAGTCTTCGGGGCGAATACTCAAGCACGGCAATGCGCCCAAAGTTTTTTGCCCCGAAGAAATGCTAGCTGGGTGAGGCTGCTAGAGAAGATAGTTGGTGAAGTGAGCTTACATCGCGGTAGATTTGCGTGTTAAGGTTGTTGCTGAGTGTAAATTATGTTGTATGCCTGATTGTTTATGACAGTCGTTGAAGCACTAGGTTATTCTGTTGTGTTTTGTAGAGGCTTTTACGGACCACCTCGTGGACGTGGAGGATATGATGGTCGTGGAGGTCCTCGCGGACCGGATGGACGTCGTGGGTGTGGGTGAGTCTGGATTCCTTATCATGACTTTCCACGATTGTGAGATTCCATGATATTATGGTGCATATTTTAGTTTGGGAATAGACGACGAGTTGGTGAAAAGCTGAGGTGCAGGATATTATTTTTGGCTAAGACATCACTCCTATGACTTGGCACTGTGTTTCTAGAAGCATTAGAGGTAAGATAAGCTACCTAGTGAGTCATGACTATTGATGTCATCTGAGTTTCGGTGAAACAAGTTTGATGCAGTAGAGTGAAGCTTGACAGATAGGTGGAGTAGTTTGTTTCTACAGCGAAAAGTTGATGCATTAGATGAGAATAGGTGAAACTGAGGGCTAGCTAGTTGTAGTTGTTGTCACTTCGACACCTGACTTCATATTAATTTGTCTCACATTGGGTGATGTTTAACTGATGAGTTTTGATTTTCAATTTCAGCTTCGATGAACGAGAGTTGTACGGGTGAGTTGGCGTAACGAGTTTGTGTTGTTGTGCTGTGATACGTGTTGTGTAGTCTGTCCTTATCGTGCATGTTACTTTGCGAAACATTTGTTCTCGTGTTGTTTTAGTCCGCCCCCGAGTTGTCAAGGTGGAAGAGGTCGTGGTGGACCACGAAGTGAAAGAGGATATGGGTAAGTTGGCAGGTTTTTCCCTCACGTAGTTTTTGGTGTGTTTTTGGAGTACGTTGGATGCGTATGATTCATTAGGAAGAAAGTGGCCGATTGAGAGGTTATTGACTCGCTTGTGCTTGTGTAATGGTGGATATGTGCTGTGTTGTGTGCACCTGTCACTAGACGTGAGTGATTGCAATCCAGTGTGTTGTAGAAACCAATGTGGATTCTCCGGAAGTGGTTCTCTCTGCGTAGAGATTGGAAGCTTTTCGGATCTAGTGTAGTGAAGTTTGTACCTAGTTACTAGTCTGATGTGGATGATTGGGTTTGCTGTTTAATGAGAGATGTGTTACTTTATTGTGATTGTATGTTCATGGGGTTACTCGGATTTCCGGAACGCGAAGCGCACGAATAATCGAAGGCTGCTTTAATGGGAAGCAATCGTGCCACTTAGTGAATCAGATTAGTGTGTATGTTGTATGGTATTGTGGTTGGACACCGTTCAGAAGAGCTTTAGTTGCGGCCTTTCTCGAGGATGTGATTTTCGGCAGTGTGAAGAAGCAGTTTTATATGATTTTGTCACCGTTTTCACTGTGTTGGAAGTTAAAAGTGTTGTTTCTCTTGCAGATCTTCACAACCTACTGAGTATCCATCATTTCAACGTAACCCGTCAACAGATCGGTAAGTGTATATATGTCTTTGTCTAACTGTTGTTTGTGTTGAACCGTGTACACACGAGTGAGTGAGTGGCAGTCATCATTGGATTGAGTTTTGATATTTGAATACGAGTTAGCGTAGACGTGACTGACTATGAGTTGATCTTGTGATGTGAAGGTTTCACCGCTGACCGAATCTGTTAAGCAGGAATATATGAGAGTGTGATATTAACGTTGACAGTGTTTCTATTGTGAAAGCTACTAGATGAATTAAGAAATAGCCCTGTATATGTGTATTGTGTTTCATGCTTCAGGTCACGTGTTGGTGATGTTCCAGGGGTGTGGAAGAAGCCTGCATGGAGCGCGCATGTACCTTGTGAACGTGGTGACATAGCATCGTCATTACGACTGGAAAACGAGGCTACCTTGGAAGCTGCTCGCCAAAAGAAAAGCCAGTGTATGAAGAAAGCTGTGTGAGTAGTATCCGCCGTTTTGTCTTTCCAGATTCCACAAGATGTGTTTTGTGTTGCTGCTGCCTAACTGTCTAATTTTGTTTTGATTGTTTCAGGTGTGACGTGTCTTGTGAACTTTCAAAGTAAGTTGAAATGGAATAAAGTGTGAGAGTAGTGATTGGCCTCATTGCTTCCTTTGATTGATAACGTTGGCGAATGAATTTCTTTACTTCAGACTAAGCATGCAGAGGCCACTGGGAATTCCAAACAGACCAGATGAAGGTGGCACAGTCGGGAGAACAGTGAGAGTTACTTCAAATTGTTGGGACCTTGCTTTCCATCATAAGACGGTATACATGTACTTTGTTGAGGCGATCTCAGTATACCGCCTGGACTCAAAGGAGGGCAGTAAGACGGAGATAAGAATGCCACCGAGGGAGTTGCGATCTCTGACACAACAAGTAGCTAGTTCGTAAGTGCAGTTATGCTTTCATCTTGAAATACGTTGTTTACATATGTGTTAAAACTTTGTGTTGTATTTGTGTTATTGAGGTGAGTTGTTTGCTTGACTTGTTGTAGTGTGTGATTGCTATCATTATAATGTGCTTGTCAAGGAGAGATTGGTACAGGTTTGGGATGAGTTGTTGTTTCATGTCCTACGTGATTGACTGAATAATGACTTTCGCGAATATCAGATGCGTTTATGAAAAGATGGTGTAGTCGTTCGGTATGGCTTGAGTTGACACTAATCGTGTCTGTTGATGAGTCTGATGCTAATGAAATTTGCTTGTATGGTTTGCTTTTACAGCTTTCCAGATACGGTGGTATATGATGGAGGGCACGCAATATACTCTGAAGACCCGTTAAGGGGTGTTACAACGGACCCTGTGGAGAAGGAGATGGAGATCGAAGACCCGCTTGGTCGTGATCGCCTTCTCCTAAAGTATCGTATTATGGAAGTACAGCGAGTGTCTACTTCTGATGTTGATCATTTTATAAAGAATCCGAAGGCGACTTCGATGAATATGCCCCAGGTGAGAGGAGATTAGATTTGTTGTTTGACACTTGGTTGTAGGAGTCCATCAGGCTACTGGATTGTATTCTGAAAACAGTCTCTAGACAGTCGTTCGTTTCTGTTGGACGTTCAGCCCTGTTCGAGGCGAAACCGATTAGAGTTGTCGCGGATAAACTCTTCAGCATCCATAAAGGTTTTATTAGTAGTGTGCGACCTCAGTGGAAGGTCCGTGTAAACTTGGATATGGTAAGTGATGATATTGCTTGTTTTGACTGACACACTATGACAGACGTGCAAGGCGTACTTTACGTCTGGGAATTTGGCGGACGTGATGTACGCAAAGTATGGCGATGGGATGTCTCGGTGCAGTGGAGAAATGGCCCGTGACTTGAGAAGAATCAGAGTGGAGAGTGAGAAGTTTTACAGGAGCGACAGTGGTATGCGTGTATATGTATATTTTACTCTGTTATACCTATACGTGACGCCTTCCAGGTAGGATGTATTCGCGACGGTTCACTGTGCACGGGATGTCGTCACTACCAGCTGATCGTCTAATGATTGAGGAGGTGAATGAGACGGTGGCAGAATATTTTAAGAGGCATCATCATATCACACTGAAGTATCCAGAGCTGCCTTGTGTGAAGGTAGGTGATTTGTGATTTGATTGATTGATGATATTTTATTTTGTTAGGTTGATCAAAAGCGGGAGGTGTATATGCCTATGGAGTTGTTGAACATACTACCGTATCAAGCTCCTAATGCGAGTAAAGCGGATGTTGCTAGCGAAGTGATCCGGTGTTCGGCAGTTCGACCGCAGGAACGTTTCCAAGAGCTGCAAAACTTTGCTAACAATATGCTGAAGTAAGATGATGTTATTTCCGCGTTGTTGATGATGCACTAGGACTGAGTACTGACGACGTGATGATGTTGCTTACTCATGATGCAAGAGGCGGAGAGAAGTTGAGGAGAAGGAGGAGGAGCATGTTGAATGAATGCTCGTTAGGTGATTTCCACTGTCAGCAACTAACTTAGTTAGCTTTCTCAACACTGGAAACTGATTTCCATCTGCACACAGGGATACGTTGGAAACTAGGGATGAGAATGGAAGCATGATATTAGACGAGTTGTTTGGTTCGAGGTGTCTGATATCCGTTGTGTTAGCCGAAATTGTAAACGCGGAGAAACATGAGTTGAGTAGAATAGCCCTCGTTGAAATAAGATTTAGCCAGGAAGTTTTGTAGGTGCAGAAGCAGGCAGCCGAGGCTTTGTCGTACGTCTAAAATTGTTAGGAAGGGGGAACATTTCATCGGTTATTTGTGTCAATCTCTAGGTAGTGATTACTCGTCACAGAACATGTAATTCGCCACACGGAGACATGAGAATTAGAGTCGTGTTTGTTAACTGTGTGATGCTAGTGAAGAGGTGTTGATTGTGGACTAAGTATGCCTAGATGGAGATAATAGTGTATGTAGGTGATGTTATTTGAGAGCCCGGTATTATACTTCACTTTAATGTCTTTATTGTTTGTGATAATGAGGGTTTCTGTTGACTGGCATGACAACACTTGTTTCATTTCTTTCATCCAGGTCACACCCACTGATCGAACAATTTGGTTTGGCGATCGAGCCGAGGCCAGTGGAAGTGAAGGCACGTGTTCTGCAGCCGCCAAGTGCTAAATTTGGTCGTTCCGGTGTGCAACCGCTAAAGGCAGGTAGCTGGATGTCACCAGACTTTCATGAGCCAGCTGGCAAGGGAGTGGAGCTGATGTGGGCCATACTTTGTGTTCCACCTAATCAGGTATGTTGTTCACTCGAGTTGTGTACGAAAGACGGTGGCGATGACGACGACGACGATGAGTGATTAGTGTAGTGTAGTGTAAGGAGGAAGATGTGCGCTGCCATCACTTGAGCATTGAATTCACATTCTAGATGCAGTGATTTGTGAATCGTAGTTAGCTTGACAATATCGAGGCGTGTCGTTTGATGACAGGCACGCCACTTCGTTGTTCACAGCACCGGGCGTCTGCGTGATATCATCCGTGTTGATGTGTCAGTGTTTAATGGTGTGTATAGAATGCTGGATTTTCACTTTCCTGTTAGTCAAATAGGTGAAGTATTTTGGAAAAACTGACTGTCCACTTGATTGTGATGCGTGTTGTTGAGAGGTAGATGTTGTTATTGTTGTTATTAATATTATTATTGTTATTGTTGTTAGGCAAGTGAAACGCTTGTACTAAGTGCCTATTTCGCCTACGATGTTTTCTTTGTAGCGGTCTCAGAATCACATACAAAAGGTGATGTCAGAAATGCCTAGAGCAGGAAGTCGCTTTGGGGTTCGTCTAAGCCCTCGACCTATTGTGGCACAGTGTCCTACAGGAGAACTTGTCAGAAGGTTTGAAGATTTCAGTAGACAAGGCTGTTCGTTTGTGCTTCTAATCTTGTACGACGAGCGGAACTACTCGGCAGTTAAACGCCTGAGTGACCTGCAAATGGGTATCCGTACACAGTGTGTACTTGGTCGTACTCTGGAGAAGGCGAACGTTTGCCGTAAGTGCTTGCTACTACTGTTTACGTGTGACGTTTTTTGTTTGTGTATTTCGACAAGCTTAACTTTAACTAATGGGATTAATTTGTGCTTTGTTCAGCGAACCTGTTACTGAAGCTGAATGGGAAATTGGGTGGTGTGAACTGGCAGATCCCCGACCTGATTAAGAACAGTGGTGAGTTGCTGATGGTGTTTGGGGCGGACGTGACCCATCCGGCGCCGACACAAACTCATGGTGAAATTCGGAAGTCGGTGGCTGCTGTTATTGGTAGTGTATCACCGGATCTAATGAGGTACGCTGTGGTGATCCGCCAACAGGCGACGACAGAAAAGGGGAATAAGGGAGCGAGAGAAATAATCGACGACATGCGTGTTATTGTGAAGGAGTTGCTTGAGGTTAGTTCTCATTGTGGGCCAACTGTGAAGTGATTGATGTTGCTGGTGTTGTTGTTGTTGGAGCACGCTTCTGTTGTTGCTTGTTTATGTTGTTGTTTTGCAGGTATACTTGCGAAATACGAACGGTCGTTTCCCAACGCGTATACTATTCTATCGTGATGGCGTCTCGGAAGGCCAGTTCGAGAATGTGTTGGTAGAGGAGTTGGCGGCGATTCAGAGAGCTTGTGCAGACATTCGTCCTGGTGAAGAACCCGCGATCACGTATATTGTTGTGCAGAAGCGTCACCACATTCGGTTTCGACCGAGCGAGCCTAGGTAAGTAGGAGGTGTTTACACACATGATGTTTTGTGTGGAGCCACTGTATCTTTGTTGTTGTTGTTGTTGTCCTTGCTCACGTGTGTGAGGGCGTTCGTGTTAAGAATAACGATTTGTTGTTTCGATTGTTTTTGTAGGGCGAGAAACGTGGAGCCAGGGACGGTGGTTGATACAGACATCACACATCCCAGGGAATTCGATTTCTACTTGTGCTCACAAGAAGGGATTCAGGTAAATTGTTGTTGTTAGCTGATGAATATGATTGCGTATTTTGTAGGGCACTTCGAAACCTGCTCACTATCACGTTTTGTATGATGACAGTGACTGGACGTCGGACGGTTTGCAGTTGTTCACCTACCACCTATGCTATGCGTATATGAGGTGTTCGCGTAGTGTCTCGTATCCAGCGCCAACTTATTATTCTCACTTGGCTGCATTTCGTGCCCGTGAATGGTTATCGGACGTGGAGAAGCCAGAGATTCTGTTGGACGGTGGTCGTTTTAAAGTTCACAGCAGCCAAGTTGACGGGATGTTTTACTTGTGAGGAGATATTTTATTTTTATATAAATTGCACTTTATTTTAATCCTTGTTGTTTGGCTTTTCGATTTAATTGAGCGCAGTTTGTTGAAGAGATAGTTAATTGTTAGGGTGCGATCACGGTCACGGAGTAGCATATAGGTGACGGTAATGGTGTGATGATACTGGTGAAGACGCGTGCACACCTGACAATTCGATTATTGATTCTAAGATATTGTCTGTATGGGACGTGTGACGATGTGACTGTTCGGATTGTAGTTTTGACTTCTACGTGCGTGATTTGTCTGCTAGTGATGTGATGATGTGGTGTGAGCACGTGGGATTCGAGCGGGTATGTGTGTGTGTGTGTGTTGACGACAGATGTGTGATGGAAAAGTTGTATTGGATTTAAGAGATTTCTGTTGAGCTTGCAAATGTCTAGACGTGAGACGGTAGGAATGTGGTTGTAGATAGTTTGAGCGGCGAGTGTAGTCAGCTTGAAGTACGTTTCGAATTCTTTCTATGGATGAAATTGTGTTTTCGCCAAGTGATGATAGGAGGGTCAATTGACCAGAGTTAGTGTGGAGAATCCACTTGACACTGTGTTTGTGTGAGTGAGTGAGTAATTAATAGATGTGACTGTGATGTCTCACGGTTCAGTGACACCACTTGAATGAACAACTAGTTATCAGAGAAATACCTCAAATGTATGGAGAATTGCAAGTCGAATGACATGGATGGTGGTGATAGTAACAATAATAGTCATAATAATAGTAATAACGGGAATGAAAATAATAGCAATAGTAATATTGATGAATCACACTAATGCGTACAGATGCTAATGACAACAAGGGTGTATGTAACCGTCCTGACAAGGGATGGTCTCAGATGAATGAAGAATAATGATGATGGTGTGATGACGATGATAACAAGAGGAAGAAGAAGAAGAAGTAGGAGGGGAGATAGAATGTGAATATTTGTGTCACTAATAATATGAACGGTCAGTATGCAAGACATGCCACCATGTTGGATTCAGAGTGACGACCGTTTCGTTGTGTACATGAAGACTAGTGATATAGGCGCTAATTGCACACGCCTCCACTCCACAGTTGAAAGCTGCTGTCTGGTTGTTTGTCTGTTGACACGAGATCAGTTGGTCTGTGAATGTGTGATCCAAGAGACGGTCTGAATCTCTGACTCGAGGCATTATCATTCTGTGGAATTACTATCGCGTAGCCGATTATGCCTCAGTAGAAGGCAGGAAGCGAGTATCTATCAAGGTGGTCGTCTGCTTGAATATATATATTTTTGCTTGTCTTCACTTCATAATGCTGTCCCTGAGTCACTCTATCTGTCTGTTGTGCATTGTGTGTGATTTTCTGCCGCGTGGGATATCTCCTGGTGACGATGTTATGCTGAATTCGCGTTTCAATAAAGTAAGAGAATGCATAGGAACGATATCAAAATTGATTGACCAACACAAAATTACTAAATATTACAATTAGGGGAGAGATAGAGAGAAGGAGAATTGGTTTTAGGAAGTTTCCAGTAGCTGGGTTTGTGACAAAAGTCCACAGGACTATGATAAGTTGGAGTTAACATGAGATGGGTATCTGTTGACTTTTGACTGCACCAAAGAGCATGTTGTCCGATAGACGGGAACCAAGTCAGCTGCAGGATAGGCTTTAGCTAGTGACGTACTCAGTCCTCTGTTGACTATTGCCGCAACATATTCACCTTTAAAATCTTGTTGAATGAAGACAGGCATGTTTTCCACTGTGATTTGTTTGATGTTTGAGCCTTCACATCTTCCATATTTGTTAATGAGTCTTAGAAGGTAACCGTTGCTTTTCAATATCTTTTCGAGAATCGTAAGTTCTTCCTGTAATTCCTCTGCAGAGCACATTCTCCTCGCTGTATAGTACAGAGTCTTGATCAGTGCTCGTCTATGGCTATTTGGAAAAACACTATTAAAATATAAGTATTGTCCATTCCATGTTGGCTTTCGGTGAATTGACCTCTGGAGACTACCATCTTCTAGGCGTTGTATGACAATGTCAAGGAAACGGAACTTTCCGTCATTTTGATGTTGCATTGTAAATTCAATGCTTAGAAAAGACAACAGATTGGGCGAAGAAATATATTGCTTTTCAATTAGCGGTTCCTCATCATAGACTGGCTCTACACTAATATGTAGTCTTTTTTACATGAAATTCTTTTACCAATCAAGTGGTTATTTTAGTGAATCAGTTTTCGGTATAGACGGGGGGTGAAATCGACAGGTTTAGTGTCATCAAAACAAATAACTAGTAGTTGTTAGCAAGAAGATATCTAAGTTACAAAAGAGGGGTGAAAATTAATTACGGAATTCAAGATAGGTTGATTGTCAGGCGTTGGCAACAAGTTATTACATGATCAAGAAATTCGCAAGATAGCAATGATGACTAAGAAGAATAGGATAACCCAGAAGAGTTACGCAAAATACAAACAAACAAGTTAATAGAATTAGCTAGAATTGTAAAAATTAACAAATTCGAGAGATAGTTACAAGGGGAGGGGGAAAATCCTTTTATAAACTTAATACATATTATGTAGTTGGCCATGGCAAAGAAAGGGGCTGTACAGATTTCCTTTGAACACAGATTTGGCTTGTTCAGATGAATTCCGATTGCCTCTGCTGTATGTAAAAGTCGTACTCGTAGACCATGTGGCGAGAGGTTGGGTGATATACGATAAATAACTTTAAAAGCTTTGTTGGAGTCGATTTGATGTCCAGCCAGTATCGACGAGATGAGCTAGTACTGAGCTGCGTATGGCGGCTTTATTCGAACGTTTGCCATACCAAGATGGGAGGTGTTCAGAAATTCGACGATGAACTTGCCTGATCGTACGCCCTATGTAACTAGCTGTGCACGTGCAGTTAAACTGGTAAATACATATTGAAGAGGCGAGACAGGTCAGTCTGTCTTTATTTCTTGAAGTAAATATTGGTCGGCTAGTGAATGCACAAAAGGCATCAAGAGGCTTTTAAGCAATTGAAAGCGAATGAGAATATGGTTATCTGCAGACCTGACAAAGGCTTAGGAGTCGTTATCATGGAGAAGTCTGATTACCTTAACAAAATGCAGACTTAATTAAGTGATGCATGCAAACTACAGAAACGAACAAAGATACAATGGCGAGGACTGAGAGACAGTCGACAGAGTCTTTAAAAAAGTTGAAACAAGAAGGCCATATTTCGTCTGCTTTGTATGAAACGCTAAAACCTGCAAGCACGGTGATACCCAGGTAATACGGCTTGCCAAAGAGTTACAAAAACGACTTGCCACTCAGACCAGTCCTCGATATATCTAGCTCACCATACCATTGAACTGCGAAATGGCTGTCGGTACATTTGCAACCGTTGCATAAGAAACTTGTGGAAAATAGCGTGAAAGATAGTTTTGAGTTTGTAGAAAGAATCAAGGGATTAAATGTGAAAGACAAATATATGATATAACTGGATGTATCTTCCTTATTCACCGATGTGACTTCGATGGAGACAATTGATTACATAGGTAATGAATTGATAAAGCGAGGTATAGAGATTGGAATTCCTGTGTCTTCCCTAAAGGAACTTCTTCTAAGATGAACAATGAACGTAAATTTCCTGTTCAATAAGAAAATGTACAGACAGTCAGATGGTGTTGCCATGAGATCACCACTAGGCGCAATCGTAGAAGATTTTTTCTTGGCGAAACTGGAGAATGGTCCACTTAAAGATGTTGGTGATATATTGAAAGTTATTAATAAATATTGTTCCGTCTATTCGTCTAGTGATTGGGACGTGCAAAAAGGGGATAGAGTCATTTTCTTCTTCTCCCTCAATGAAGCTTATGCTGGGATGTGCTCTATTGAATTGATATAATATCTTCTTAGCCTCACTTTGTTGGAGAATTAATTCTCTGAGCAAAGGTTCATCAAACAACTAAGTGGGAATTGAGATTTTTAGATATTCAACAATCTAAGAACCTGTAATCCCAATAAAGATGGACGACATTCACTAACAAGAAAGGGGATATTCACAAAACTACCACTGTCTGATTTCAAACCAATGTTGGTAGTACCAACAAGGGGTAGTTTATGACCAGTAATGCCTGTAATGGGATTAGTAGTAGGGTCTACCTTGGCATGCTTACAAAGCGATAGTCAATCCTTACATTCAGTACTCCCAGTATCAATGATAAAAGAATGGGACTTGCCTGAACTTGTAGTGAAGCTTTTAATCAGATGAGATTCAGTGCTGTGAGAAGTTGAAAGAGATATTGACTGTATTTTACCAGAAAACTTGGAAGAATTCTGAGTAGTGAAAGTATTCGAACTCCGGTAAGTAGGCTCTGTGTGTGTGTGTCCAGTCTTACCACATTTATGGCACTTAGCACCCCGAAAGTGTCAAGTGCTTCATAGATGAATCTTTCCACACGGAAAACACGTTTGATATTTTGCTGTCTGCCTGCATTCTATCAGATGTGAATGACAGTTTAGATTTGATTTTATGAACACTTGCATTATCAACTTTTGACAGCATCACATCAGACACCGACGTAGTGGGAGCTGGGTATTCATTGTTGACATCTTCATATGTAAGGCATATATCCTTAGCAGTTTGAAAGGTGCAGGAGAGAATCTTAATCGACTCATTCTCTAACTTCGGAATATTGATCCCAGCAATTAGACGATCACGTAGTTGAGTATGGAGCTGATCTCCAAAGTTGCACTTTGAAGCTTGTATCTGAAGCTGGAGAGTAAAGTCTCTAATCTTCTGGTTGGGAGCACGAACAAGTTTGTTGAACTGACTCCTCTCTCGTGTTTCAAAAGTAGTTCTATGGAAGTGATCTATTAGAAGTTCACGGAGCTCATCATGTGGCAGAGAAATTGGTTTATCTGGAAATGACAGAGTCTTCACTAGGCCGTACGCATCTAGCCAAATCGCAGTAGTAAAATGAGCTGAAAATTTGTCATCCCGAACATTCCTCAACATGCACCATGCGTCAAAGCATTGAAGATAATCGGCAATTTCCCTCAGTGAA